TCGTATGGTTTTTTTTGTCTCCCCCTTCCCACACGAAAATAAACAGAGGAAAACTGTAGCGATGCCCCTCGCATGAAAAAACAGAAAAAAACGGAAGAACCGAAGTGAGGCCCCTCGCACGAAAAAAAATGACAAAGTAGGCTGCCCTCGATCTATTCCTACGACGACGGGAACCACGCCCCAGCCGCCATCGATCCCTTCTGTCGTCAATCCCAGTACGACGACGGGAACCACACCCCAACCGCCATCGATCCCTTCTGTCGTCGATCCCAGCGAGGCCGGATCCGATCTCATGGAGGCCGCCTCAGATCATGCACATACGTGACAGTGCCAGGTCTCGCCGTCGCCGCACAATCCCATTGACGCCTCCGTCGCTGCCGATCCGTGGGAGGCTGCCGCACAACCCCACGCACGCATCCGCCTCCGCCGATCCCAGGGAGGGTGCCACCGATCAGGTTCCGCCTAAATCAGGTTCGCCTAAACCCTAAACCCTTCGTCCATTCAACAGGGCCCAACGCACATACGTACAGAACTCCGATGGAGCAGTACCTTCCTGTATGTATGATGATTTTTTATGCTTCCGTCGGCAGCACATTCAATAAGACACTTGAAGGTTTTCGGACTTGTGAATCATACAATTTATACATATGCAACTTCTCTGAATTTTACGCAAAGCTAAATTACACCTTTTCTTTATCAATGTTCCCAGCTCGACCAGGTTCAAGCTTTTCTTGTAAGCAGTTGGTAGCTTTGTCCTCCTGTAAGTTTACTTTGAAATGGACCTCTACTCTAGCTTCTCATGTTGGCCTACATTTGTGATAGGTCACTCATCAGAACAAAAGTTAAGTAAGGGAAATTCAAATAGCAAGGCACCGGAACAAAGAAAGGCATCGGATGTACCTCTACCACCTCTTGTTGATCTACATCCCCAAGGAAGTCCAGGTATACCCTCTACCCGTCTTGTTGACCTTCATTCTGGTATAAACACAACATTGCATATAACTTTCACGTTACAAGCCATAATGAGGGTATAAATGGCAACGAATCCATCCCAGAAATCGTTCTCGCACCGAGTCACAACATTGACGAGTATTACCCAATGACTCCAGGTATTGGGATTTTGTAAATAACATGCATTATCAAATGGGTTTTATTTGATCATTTCATCAATCATGCCTAACAGATTTGGACAAAAACAACAAACTGTCAGTATTGCATATTAGTCCCTCTGGAGGGGTGATACTAGAACAGGACATCACAAATGACAATGACTTTAGATAGGCTTTACATAGTTCAACCTTAAAAAGCTAAATGGTTTGAGCCATGCGTCCATCTGCACCATACTACTTTCCACGTATCTTAAAAAAAAGGGTCTGTAGCTGGCTCCGACAAGTAACAAAATACTACTTTCTGTTCTGCTTATGGACTATAACGACGGACACCTACGCATTACATCTGTCATGTGCGCCACGTAGTGTGACTAATATTCATTTACTGCCTCTAATCCATGGATTGGATACTAAGTTCTGGAATTGGAAGGAAAGAAGTGGTAAATAACAAGCATTCTGGAATTGGTAATAAAGAAGTGGTAAATAACAAGCACATAAAAGCATTCTAAAAGTTTTCCAAGATTTTACCAAGAAAATCTTGGTAAAATCTCCTTGCAATTCTATTAGCACGAAGAAATGCAGGACAGATGTAACATCCTGACTCCAATCTTTGTACTGTGAAGTATGTGATAAAACTTTGTGGTAACATGCTTGCAGAAAGGAACCTGTAGTAACTTGGGAAATGGACATTGGACTGCAAATTGTTCCAATCGCATAATGGTCGGCTAGAAACAAGATACATAGCTTCATCAACTGATCGCATCAAAATATTGGCTGTAGCTGCATTTATCCGTCCCTCGTCAAGCATTGCCCAGTAACTGGCTTGCACACCTGAAGACAATATTTACAAAAAGGAAAAATAATCTTTGTTAACTGACCGCATTTAGTATGAAACTAAACATCTCCATAAAATACAGAGACAAGATAGAATTATGGACGTATCAAGCCAACTATTTAAGGGCAAAAAAGAAAAGCAAACAAAAAGCCTGCCTGCCATTCAAAATACGGACTCGGCCATCCCTTAAATTCATGGTATGTATGTGATCATGATTGTCATCATGTGGATGTGCATGTTCATCTTCCAAGTTACTCAAGCCTGTGATATATTTCTTAACTGTAACCCGGTCAGCAGGACCAAGCTCCTCATCATCTTTGAGATCACCAAAAGCTTCTAATGTCTTGTTTAGAACCTCATGTCTAACATAATTCAACATGCGAAGCTGCAGCAGTAATTAGAATACAACTTTTATGCCGAACCTGAACAGAACATTACTATACTATATATATATATATATATATATATATATATATTTAAGGGCAATCACATGTGAAACCATAAAGTACTGGTATTTCTGGAAGCAACATGGTATCAGTCACGCAAAACCTACTCCTCGGAGTTGCTGGATGAAGAAGTTTAACTAAAAATTGCAGTAAGCAAGGCTCACAACACCGTTGGGACTTACAAATAGGTTCAACTGAAAGAAAAATTAATCATTTTCATGCCATGGTTATATAAGATGCTAATCCACCAACCCTGAACTCATAGGCACATAAATAAAATATGTGTAACAATCACACCATATAATCTTCCTATTTACTAATTAATCTTAGGGAAATGAAAGAGGAGTTATAGTTCAAAAGATTTCTGATTAGCACGCATAAACACAAATTTTTAACTCCAAGGTTAAAAAACCCACAGATGAAACCTGTAATTTGTAAATCTAACCTTTGTTACTGAAAAGTTGTCCATAGCAAGTGCGTGCAGCCAAAATTGTGTGGTAGAAACATTCAATATTCTGACGTGAGAGGGAAATGGATAATGGAGGGTGTGAGAGAGAGGGAAGTGACCTAAAGAGTACAGACTTAGGGCTAGACTAACAGGGACAATATGATAGAAGGAGGTTTACATGGTAATATAAAAGGAGAGGGAGGAAGAACTTCAAAGAGCTGAACCAAATAAAGATCCATCTTAAACAAAAACATAGAATGGACAACGTCGCAATGGGACGCACCTTCCCTTCTTGTGCTTATGGGTGTTCATATTCATCTGTGAGCCTAACCACTAGCTTTTGTTCTGTTCCTCTAGGTCCAAAATCTCCACATAACGATGTCTGCCTAAATGCCCATGGTCATGATGGTTTAGATTTTGCGCCAGCGTCTACAGCAAGTGATTCCCAGAAAACATCTCTACTCCTGAATGTCGCCAAGCTATCTACCAGAAAGCATGATAAAGAATGCAGTAATAACTTGACAGAAGAACAAAGGGAGCAGAGAAACGCGCGAAGGCGAGAAAATTATCGGAAGAAAAAGGAAGAGAATACGATCAAGCTCCAAAGTGAAAAGCAGAATGTTTCTCGACCCCCTCTTGGCGATATCACCAATGTTCATCAGCCTTCCCATGAGATACCAGGTACGGATCTAGAATTTATACTTGGTATAATTGTAGCGTAAATTTGGTAATGGTAGTTATGGGGCAATGTGATAAAGAAAGCAGCAATAACTGCACAGGCGATAAAAATAAGCAGAACAACACGCGGAGGCGAGCAGCTTATCCGAAGAAAAAAGATGAGACTGTGACCAACCTCCAAGATGAAAATCAGTGTGTTTCCCGACCCCCTCTTGATGATATAACAAGTGTTGATCAACCTTCCCATAGCATATCAGGTACATGTGTTTAAGTTTTCATTTCATAAATTAAGTAATCGTTAGATAGAATGACCTCATTCTGCAGGTTCATGCTTGCTGAACATGGATGATATGGTTATGTTTCAATTTATTGCTCAACCAGCCAACCCAACTAGCTCTAGCTATACATCCTTGTCACATGCTGATGCAACGTTGCCTGCTTCGAGTACTCCCATTGTTGGGTACATTGATGACAATGTACTAGCTGGGTGGCAACGTGAGAAAGAAGAACAAAAGGAGCAGAGAAACGCACGGAGACGAGAATCTTATCGGAAGAAAAAGGAAGAGGGTACGATCAACCTCCAAAAAGATAATCAAGTGCAGCGTGAGCGACGAAAGGAACAACGAAACAACAGGACCCCTGATGAGCAGGGGGAGTCAAGTGCGAAGAGAAAGGCAGACTATGCTAGAAGGAAAAACACCCTTTGTGCTGAATCGATCGCAATGCCACGTCCAGATCAAACTAGCACATTGTCCAAATCTCACGCTTTCAACCCTCACGCACATTGTCCGACTCTCACACTTCCAACCATCACGCAACAATCCGACAGTGAACAGATAGATCGTTCTACAACCGTCAAGTCGGCCCCCACATACATTCGCAACACCGAAACAGATGGTAGATATCCCATCAACGATCATCTTTCATCTTGTAATCATTCATCAGTTATTTATAATGATTTGATAATATTGTAGGTGCATACCTAAGCAGAACCGTAGGTGATGGTGATGTAGATGGCAACCTCATAAAAATCAATGAGCACCTACCAAGTGCCGACCAGCAAACCAGTGATCCGGTAACAAAAGCGGATTATGGCGCTGGCAAGCAGAGTCATGAGTCCAGAGCTCAGCGTAGGACGAGAGAGCGAGCTTTCAAGGGAAGTATGGCGGCGTGTAAGCATCAGGAGAAAATTGGCAAGCGAAAATCATGTTCGCAGGTGCCACGTGGTGAGAGGAAGGCTCTGCTAGATCGTCGTAATGCAAGCTTTGCAGGTAGGGTGAATACCCCAACTGTCAAGTCCATCTCCACATCGGAGATTAGCTCAATGGGACAACCTACCATAGTTGAAGCACACGGTGCCTCAACATCATCTAGCACACCGGAGTACACGATCAGAAGCGAAGGTAACACCCCCCCTCCTTACTCTCCTTGCGTCCCTTGAGACTGAACCCTCATTTGTGTTGTTTGGCACATGGGCAGACGACATGGACGCTTACCTCAATGGTCTCATGAATGATAATGCCAATCCTGACAACCTCTTTGACGATGAATATTACCTGTTTGCTGGTGAAGGTATGTACACCCGCTTGAGCGTGATCCACATGTTGGGGGTATCTCACTAACTAGAAACATTGTTTGCAGGCCTAGATGTTGATGACATGGAGCACAACGAATTGGAAGACTCAAGGCACAATAACTATGTCGACCATGATCCATTTGACTATGTGTACTCAAACCTCCCAGCCAACACACACATCCTGAAGCACGCCGCGAACTGCGACCACTGCAAGGATAAGAAGTTTGTGTCCGAGGCCCCAGGATTTTGCTGTCGCAGTGGGCAGATCGAGCTGAAGCAACCGGAGCCCACCCTGAAGCTCATGAGGCTTTGGTCTAGCACTGATGTGGACTCTAGACATTATCGGGAGAACATACGGTTCTTCAACGGCCACTTCTCCTTCACAACCCTCGGCATCAGCCTCGATGAAAGCTACACAAACATGAAGTCTGGGGTGTACACGTTTCGGGCACACGACACCATCTACCACAATGTTCATTCCTTCGGGCCAACATCCCGTCCATAGCATCTACAGTTGTACTTCTACGACGACGACCCAGGCCTAACCCATCGCAAGGCTGCCACCAAACAATTAGACCAAGATGTCGTCAGAAAGTTAGTGGACATACTCAGGGAAAACCCATACTCCCAACAGTTTAGGAGTTTGGGTGCGCACAGGGACAACCTCGACGATTACAGGATAGACCTCAACACTGACTAGAGACTAGACCAAAGGAAGTATAATAGACCTCTGTCATCTGAGGTCGCTGCAATTTGGGTGGAGGGCACTGACCTAGCAAAGAGGTTCGATCGTAGGATTACACTTTGCGGGAATGACAACCAGAGGCACAGTATACATGTGACGGCTGGCTCGTATGACCCGCTCTCTTACCCACTCTTCTACCCAAGGGGGGAGCTTGGTTGGCACCCGAAACTACCTAAACGTGATGTCCCTTAGCCGGTTGTGCAACAACCAAGAGGTGGACGTGATGATGATGATGATGAAGCAGGTAAGCCTTATGCGTATTATGTCGTTTTGATGAATTGTATAGTTCTCATATGAATCCTAACTTCCGTGTTACTCATCCATGTGCAGAGGGGAATAGCAGGTTATGCGTCTCGGTGAGAGACTACTACTGCTACATGCTGTAGACACGACCTGGGATATTCAATCCCATACTCTGTGGAGCACGATTGCTCCAGCAATGGGGGGTGGACATGTACATCAAGATTGAGAGCTGTAGGTTGAAATGGTACAGGAAGAACCAGACAAAGATCCGTGCCGACCTGTATAAAGGAGTTGTTGATGCAATTACATCCGGAGAGACCCGGGCAAGCGCTGTTGGAGTAAGGATAGTGCTCCCTGGAACGTACCCAGGTGGTGACCGCGACATGAAGCGGAGGCATATGGATGCCATGGCAATAGTCCATACCTACGGGAAGCCTGACATCTTCTTGACCATGACTTGCAACCCTAACTGGGAAGAGATAACGAATGAGTTGTTTCCTAGTCAGACAACGCAAGACCGACCTGATCTTGTGGCTCGTGTGTTCCATGGCAAGCTAGAGGCTATGAAAGAGATGTTGTTCAAGAAGAATATCCTGGGTGTTGTTGTCGCACATGTATACATAGTCGAGTTCCAGAAGAGGGGCCTCCCCCACGCACACTTTTTGTTGATCATGGATTCTGCCTATAAGCTTGTCGTTTCAGAGCAGTACGATCGACTTATTTCTGCCGAACTCCCAGACAAGCAGAAGTATCCTGAACTCCACGCCTTGGTGGTGAAACATATGATGCATGGACCATGCGGTGCTCTCAACCCCAAAAATGTGTGCATGCAACATAACGAGTGCAAGTGCAGATACCCGTTGTTGTTCAATGAAAACACGGCATAGGGCAAGGACTCATACCCAGTTGATGATGGTCAGCAGGCTAAGGTCCGGGATAAAATGTTGGACAACAGATGGGTTGTACCATATAACCCTTACCTTCTACGTATGTTTAATTGTCACATCAAAGTTGAGGTTTGCTCCAGCATAAAGGCCGTCAAATACCTTTACAAGTACATATACAAGGGCCATGATAGGGCTTCTTTCAGCATCGACCAACCCGACGCCGATGGTAACATTGATGAGATCAAAAGAATACGTAGACGCGAGGTGGGTTACTCCTCTAGAGGCGATGTGGAGGATATTTGGCTTCCCCTTGTGTGCCAATGACCCGCCTGTCCTACAGTTGCCTCTTCATCTCCCGAATATGCACAGGGTGGCATTCAGTGAGCAAGCTCACTTGACCGACGTAGTCGCCTCTGAGAATTCTTCCAAATCCATGTTGACAGAGTATTTCAAAGCTAACCAAAACCACCCGTGGGCTAGGAATATATTGTATAAGGATTTTCCTGGAAGGTTCACATGGCAGAAGGGTAAGAAGTATTGGAAAGAGCGGGTGGAGCGTTATCAGATAGGTTGAATTGTGTCTGCCAATCCTGCCGAGGGGGAGCGATACTATCTGCTTGTGCTGCTAAACCATGTTGCTGGCAAGACATCCTATGAGGACATGCTCACCGTGGACGGTAGGCTATGCGGGAGCTTTAGAGAGGCTGCCGAAAGGTTGGGACTCATCGAGGCAGATAACACGCTCGACGATTGTCTTACCGAGGCAGAGCAGTGGGCAATGCCATGTTCTCTCAGGAGGCTCTTCACAACAATTTTGGTGCACTGTGAGCCAGGCGACGTGCGTGGTTTATGGGATAGGAACTTCGAGCCTATGTCTGATGACTATCGGCGATCACACACGTGCCCGATTGAGGTGGAACAGATGGTGTTGCTTGACATTAGGGGTATGTTGCAGTCCATGGGCAAAGACATAGCTGATTTCGCTCTTCCATGCATTGACGATGCGTTCGACCCAAACGAGGGCGAGGCCAGAGAAGTGATCGAGGAATCCAACATCGATTTTGACATCAATGACACTAAATTGGCATCATCGCTAAACTTGGAGCAGAGGGTTGCATACGACGAGATACTAGCTGCTGTTGAACGCGGTGATGGGGGTGTGTTCTTTGTTGATGGCCCGGGAGGTACAGGGAAGACCTTCCTGTATAGGGTGCTGCTCGCCAAGGTTCGAAGCGAGGGAAACATCGCTGTCGCTACCGCGACGTCAGGTGTCGACGCTTCTATCATGCCTGGAGGCAGGACTGCCCACTCGAGGTTCAAGATCCCATTGAGCTGCGACGATGGCGCCTCATGCACCTTCACGAAGCAGAGTGGTACCGCCAAGCTACTGAGGATTGCCTCATTGATACTATGGGACGAGGCCACCATGACTAAGCGACAGGCGGTCGAGGCACTCGACAACAGCATGCGCGACATCATGGGAAGACGGGACCGACCCTTTGGAGGAAAAACTGTTGTGTTTCGCGGGTACTTCAGCAGGTGCTTCCAGTCGTCAGGAGGGGGTCCCGTGGTCATATAATCGATGCAACCCTCCGAAGTTCACATCTCTGGAAGGGTATGCGCCAGCTAAGGCTCATCACCAACATGAGGGCTCATAATGACACCTGGTTTGCGGATTACTTGCTAAGGGTAGGAAATGGTACCGAGGAAGTTGACGATCAAGGAAACATACGACTCCCTGAAGATATTTGTGTGTCGTCTACAGGCGAGGGTGACGACCTGGAGAAGCTGATTGACCATGTGTTTTCGAGATTAGATGACAACATGTCTGATCCGAATTACATGACTTCACGCGCAATCCTGTCCACCACAAACGACAACGTCGACAAGATAAACATACGCATGGTAGAGCGTTTTCAGGGGGAAGAAGTAATCTACCATAGCTTTGACAGTGCAAAAGACGACCCATATGGCTACTATGCTCCTGAGTTCCTATGTGGATTGACTCCCAACGATCTGCCTCTGCATGCACTCAAACTGAAGCTCAACTGCCCTGTCATACTTCTGAGGAACATTGATCCGGCTAATGGTCTGTGCAATGGGACGAGGCTTGTGTTGCGAGGTTTCGAGAGGAACGCCATCGACGCAGAAATCGTGATCGGACAACACGCAGGTAGGAGGGTATTCCTTCCTCGAATACCCCTATGCCCGTCTGACAACGACAATGTTTCCATTCAAGTTCAAGAGGAAGCAATTTCTTGTAAGGCTTAGCTTTGCTATGATGATTAACAAGGCTCAAGGACAGACGGTTCCGATTGTTGGCGTGTACCTACCTAATCCAGTGTTTTCTCATGGTCAACTCTATGTCGCATTGTCTGGAGCCACCGCGAAGAGAAATATAAAGATCCTCATTGAGAAGGAGAAGGACAAGGAGAATGGCAAGAAGCAAATCAGTAAATCAAAGAAGCGAAAACGACCTACCTTGTCCTTACAAACCTCGATGAAGAACATCGTCTATAAGGAAGTCCTTACAGGCTGAAGTCCGCTCTTAAATATGACAGAGGATTTACTCTTATGCTATAGATAAGTTGGTGCTCTTCGGTGTTCTTGTACAGATATCTTATCTTTCGATGTTAGCAATTAAACCTTATTATGTTTATACAACAAGTCAAATATTAATAATATTGCCTCAGATTTGTGACTTTGCAAGTTGCCAATTTTTGTTGTATGTGACATTATTTTCCCTTTTGCTGGATTGCTTATATATATATATATATTATTCTTTTGTTGTTTTGTAATCAATCATCTACTGCATCTAAACTCGGCTTTGTTTTCCTGCACAAATTTTGCACACTGCCTGGGTCACTTCGTTGTTGTAAAACTAGACTCCACTGGAGTGTTCTACATTAGATAAGTTTTTATGATGCAGCCCAAAAGCATGCAATTCTGAACATGCAGAAAACAAAAAAATATAAGCATGTAAACAATAATATTACACCAAAAATATCACAACTATATAAACTTTCATCTCTGTTACTAATTAGGAAGAAGGTCATTTCTACTGAAACTACAATGACAATGTCACTAGACTAGAAAACAACTGAATCTTTAATCCCAGTGCAGTAGTGAAACACTTAACCTTTAGGCATGTTTGCATGATTTCAATACTGTCACAATTCAGGCCATATTCGTTTGACATAATTTCCCTGGTTTGGCGCTGAAAATTGGCAGTGTATTGTGAAATAACAGTACTCACAGATTATTCTACTGTTATTTATCTAGAGATGGGAGTAGGCTGAATTAGAGCGGGATTGGGCATATGGATACACACAGAAATCGAGCTGAATTGCTTTTTAAACATGTAAATGCTACTCCTTGCTGTACTTTTTAAAAATACTCCTTGATGTGCATTCAGACTAAGAATTCAGAGTGGCTAGAATTTAGTTGCAAATCAATCAGATACGGCGCACCAGCGAAGTGCTTCCACAAGTACACCTAGCAGTTCAGAACTCCAACTACTCCTACTGCAAACAAAATTCAGTAAATTTCAGTGCATCTACTGCAAACAAAATTCAGTGCATCAACTCCATGTACTCCTAGAGTACTCTTTCTTTGAAATTCAGTGCATCTATTGGAAACAAAATTCAGTAAATTTCTAGCAACTACTCCTACTGCACAAAAAATTGAGTGAATTAAGCATGCAGAGATACCTGCCACAACTTGATTCACATGTTTGGATTCAGTTGCATTGATGGATTCAGAGTACTACTGCCGGCACTCCCTGTTTCTTGGCTTGCTGAAGAAAGAAAGCAACCAACCAACAAATTCAGAGGAGGGGCTCGCAAGCAAGCAAGCAGGCCAAGAGAGCAAAGGAGGGGCTTACCATTAGCAATGCGGGAACCGAGAGAGGTAGCGCTTGCTGAGACGGTCGATGGAGATGCCGAGGTCGTCGGGCGCGGGGGGCGTTTCGGTTTCTTGGCCTGCTGAACCAGCCGGAGGCGGGCCACGACGGCGCGTGCTTCGAGCTGGACGAGCGTGAGGTCGTGTGGCCGGCCGGCGGCAGCGATGGGGACATGGACGGATGGTCGGCCACGCCGGTGGCTGAGGCGGCGGTGCCCCTGTGGCGCGTCGCTCAGCGCACGTCGTGCCGCAGAGCTTCGAGCTGTCGTCGCTCCTTGCGGAGGGCAGCGGCGTCGGGGAGCTGTTGTCACCCTGGTCGTGCCTGTGAGGCCGGGTCACGGCGCCGCGGCACATCAGGGGCGACAACGACGGGGCCAACGGAGAGGCAAGAACGGCCCGAGAGGGAGAGGCGCCGGTGATGCGGGTGAGGGAGAGGTGCCGGCGAGGCGTGCGAGGGAGAGGCGGCGGCGGCGGTGGGAGACGCGGCCGCCGGCTGTGCGGCTGTGGGGGCGAGAGCGGAGGGAGTGTGGGTGACTCCGACGTGATCTGGATTGTGTGTTTGAGTGGAAAGGGAGTGGAGAGAGTGAAGAGAAGGAGTTGGTGGGTGCTGGTTGGCCCATGATGCGAGTGGGCTTGGGCTTCTTGGGGCCTTGGATCAGCAACCTTTGTTGTAAGAAAACAAATGCCTACAAAAATGATGTACGAAAAAAGATAGTATATATTAAAGTAAAAAGGATATAGATATATTAATTAAACATGGATCATCCAAATAAATCTTTTTTATACTTATTCCATATATTCAAAATATCACACAAAAACACAATTTTGAGTGAAGAAACAAAGTATACTTGGTTTATGTTGGAGAAGGGTGACGCTAAAAAGGGACGAAAATTCACCGAGTTTTTCACAACATAATGATGTGGAGGCGGTGATATCTCATAAAAAACCAAAAAAGTATGCCAATTTAAATGTTATCGTACAAGGTATTCTTTTCAATGTTATTATCGATCTTTCTTTCATCATATTGCCTTTTGTATTCAGCCAATTTGTCTCATTTTAATACAAATTTGGCTCATTTTTGTATCATGACGTTAGACTATGTTTGTATCCCTAGAGATATTACAGTCATCGAATCAATCATGTCTGCCCCAAGAAAACCAAGTTCGTGGACATTGAAGATGCCTTGTTATCAAACGATGATTTGGAATGCTTTATGAAGGATGGTATGTTTCTTACAGGATGGTGTAAGACCAATTGCATAAACTTTATAATTAATAATATAAACAATATATAATATCGTAAAACATATATATTATGGTCATTGTTGAATTACAGCTGGCTCATGATCATCTATGAGATAAGGCGGGTGAAAAGGTACATATTATTAGCACGTTTGTTTCTACCAGATGAAAGAAGACGGAGAAAAAGACATAGAAGCGTCAAAATTTGTTAAGTGCATCAAGTATATCTCAGTAATTTTTAATAGATTTTTAGTTGGATCATCCCTTATATGTATACATTGTTAATGTGCTATTTTTTGTTATCACTTTACATTACAAAGTTAAGTGGACTTAAATTATTATGTAATTGGGACCGTGTTATAGTGTCTCTATCTTTGACAATTTCAGAAGCCCGTGGCAACGCACGGGCATTCTACTAGTAAACCTAGGATATAGGAAGATTCTTTTTTAGGGATATTCATATAATCCCTGAGAAGTTGAGGGTGGTACACAAATATATCTCTTGTCTCAATGCGTGAGGCGACAGACTTACACATTATATGATTAATGTCACTTGTGTCAATGTTACTTGTGTTGGACATGTCTTTAAAATGAGTGTTGTCACCCCATGGTGTCGGAGAACCCATCTGTAAGCAAAAAACATAGGCACTAATGCACCTCAACATCGATAATTTCATAATGTAAAATAATTAATAGCACTCCTGAGTTTGCTTTCCAAAGTTATCATCGCGATAAGAAAAACATTCTTGTGATAGGCCCTGTTCTCGGTAAGAAATATAGTGAAATTGTCTTTTCCATTCTTCCCCATGATCCTGCTACGAAGAAAGATGCGCATTTCTTAAAATACCCCATATACGTAGGGGGAAACCGAGGAATAGGAAAAATCTATCCTGATGGTAGCAAGAGTAACAATACAGTCTATAATGCTACGTCAACAGGTATAGTAACTACTATAAATAGAACTCATATTTTATATGTCCTGTACCAAATGTAAAGATGTTTTTCATATTAGTCTCATGCAATGTGACATATGTATGAAATTAAGTATGGCTGTATGACATTTTATAAATTATTGACCAATAGTGAAATTAATTTATGGAATCATTAAATTGACATATAGTATTTGCCACAAAAGGACAATTTTACAATTAATAGCACATGATGATAATAATTTTTCCATGTTTATATTGATGCCATGCAATTTCACATTTTTATATAAAGAGTGAAACAGTAAAAGCGCACAGGAGGAAATATGACTTAATTCGGCCCAGATCCACAGGAGAAAACACAGAACCTATTATAACATTTGGCCAACCCGCAGCTCCTTTTTAACTAATGTACTAAATAGTAAATATTCAATGGCTGGGCAACCGTCCATTCTCTAATTTGGCCCAACTTGGGCCTGCCACCGTTGTTGGGGCGCACACTGTCGATCGTTCTACGACCAAGATCAACTAACGCACAACCATCTTAGCGTTGAGAAGTGGGGAAATCTCGGATCTTGAAGATTTCTACGTTTTTCGTCAACGTCTAGTGGTTATCATAGATTTACGAAAAATAATTTTCTATCGTTTTTTTGGCATAAGGTTATAAAGTGTTGTGGCCGGTTTAGCTAGGCCCACCGAGCAATCTTAGCCCACAAGTTATCTTAGGTTAATTTTTATGCAAGTTATCTTAGGTTAATTCTTCTGCAAGTTATCTAGGTTATAAATATAGGTTGTAAGACTCTTTTTGAAATTAAGCAATAAGAAGATTATCTCTATTGCCCGGCTCTCAGAGGAGTCGGAACCCTAGCCGCCCCCTGCCTCTTGCGCTGCCGCCGCCTTCCTCCTCTCCCGCGACGGCGCCCAGCCGCCGGCGCGGCCGCTCATCGCCACGCCCAGCCCCCTCCTTCCCCTACTGCTTACGGCCAAAACCGGGCAGAACTCTAGCTCCTAACACCTTGGTATCAGGTACCCGGGTTTCGACCATGTCTTCACCGCCTCCAAACCCGCCACCACCGCAGCCGCCGCGGCCCAATGCCTCCCCCACCGCCGCTGCCACCAATTCCACCAACGCCGCCGCTGCGTCGCCGGGCACCACGGCCTCCCTATCGGCGCCAATCTCCCCCGCACTCGGCACCACGCCGGGCCAGGGCCAGCCACAAACCCCCCTCCAGCAACCACCATCGTCGCCTCCCCCAGCGCCGCCGTAGTTCACACTGGAGGCCATGGCTGGCGTGCTCAACGACCTGATCGTCGCGGTCTAGGGCATTCGCCTCTACTTGGCGGGCCCGTACGGGCCGCCTCCACCGCTTCATCCGGCCGCGTCTGCGGGCTAGCAGGCGCTGCCATGGTACTCAGTACCGGCGGCCACCACCGGCGGCTACCCGGCGCTTTCCCCACCGGCGGCTTCGACGCCGCCTTGGCTGCAGTGGCCAACGCCGTTCGCGGCGCCAACCGCGCCGCCCGCCACCACCCAGGGACCGCAGTGGCCGACCTGGGCTCCGCCGCCCGCGCCGTCCCTCACCACACCATCCCTCCCAGCGGCAACGGTGCAGGTTCCACCACCGCCCCCGCCCAACCCTAGCCTGGGCCGGTCATCGCCGAGCGGCCTTCCAATCCAGAGGTCCATTTCCCTTCGTCACCGTCGCCACTTCCTGGCTGGCTCCACGGGCCGCCGTCAGCTTCCACGGAGGCCCGACCGCCGTCAGGGTTCCAGTTGCAGCCCGAGGCGTCGGGAGCCACAGGGGACTACGCCGGCCCTTCCACCCTGGACCGAGCTCCGTCATCAGCCCTTCGTACCGCCGAGGCAGTGGGCCAGGGCGCGCCACACCAGCAGCCGCCCCGGTTCGCAAAGATCGACTTCGCCACGTACGACGGTTCGGACGACCCGCTTAACTGGCTCAACCAATGTGACCAGTTCTTCCGTGGACAGCGCACGCCCGCGTCGGAGCGCACTTGGCTGGCTTCCTACCATCTCCGCGGGGCCGCCCAGACATGGTACTACGCCCTCGAGCAGGACGAGGGCGGCATGCCACCGTGGTATCGCTTCCGCGAGCTATGTCTTCTTCGATTCGGACCACCCGTACGCGGGAGCTGCTTGGCCGAGTTGGGCCGCCTACCGTTCACCTCCACGGTGCAGGATTTCGCCGACCGCTTCCAGGCACTAGCATGCCACGCGCCTGGTGTGACAGCCTTACAGCGGGCGGAGCTCTTCATCGGCGGCCTTCCCGACCACATCCGCGTGGACGTCGAGATGAAGGGGGCCACAAGACCTTCAGACGCCCATGTACTACGCCCGCGCGTTCGAGCGTCGCGCGGTGGCCATCCAGCAGGAATCACCGTCCCGGACCGCCGGGTTGCTACCCGGGCCGGATTCCGCGCAGGGTCGGCCTGCGCAGGCTTCTGCGACACCCCTCGTCGCGACCGCGGCGCGGCAGTTCCACCGGCTCACATCAGCCGAACTGCTCGAGTGTCGTCGCCAAGGGTTATGCTTCAACTGCGACGAGCCCTACACACCCTGCCATGCCTGCCCGCGACTCTTCTACCTTGAGGTTGCAGACTACATTCCGGAGGACACCGTCGTCGCCGACCTGGCCGCCCCAGCTGGCGAGAAGGTGTTTGACGCTGGTTGATCGCCTCCAGGAGTTCCGCAAGCGCTTCCCCACCTTACAGCTCGAGGACAAGCTGTTTGTGCAGGCGGGGAGAAGTGTTATGGCCGGTTTAGCTAGGCCCACCGGGCAATCTTAGCCCACAAGTTATCTTAGGTTAATTCTTATGCAAGTTATCTTAGGTTAATTCTTCTGCAAGTTATCTAGGTTATAAATATAGGCTATAAGAATCTTTTTGGAATTAATCAATAAGAAGATTATCTCTATTGTCCGGCTCCCGGAGGAGCCGGAACCCTAGCCGCCCCCTACTTCTTGCGCTGCCGCCGCCTTCCTCCTCTCCCGCGACGGCGCCCAGCCGCCGGCACGGCCGCTCATCGCCACGCCCAGCCCCTTCCTTCCCCTACTGCCTACGGCCAAGACCGGGCAGAACCCTAGCTCCTAACATAAAGATTTTTGTCCTCGCAGATCCGATTATTCAGGTGAGTTTATGTTGTT